GGGAGGCCGGGGCTCACCTCCGGTGTGACGCGTAGTTCCCAGTTATGTGGCCGGAGCCGTCGCATCCAGGCGTGGGGCACCTGTGGGAACAGGGGAGCTGCAGGGCGCCTTCCCAGGGCTCTGGGCTTCCGGGGGCCCCGCCGCCCGTGCAGCTTCCCAGTCTCCCAGCAGCGCCGGGAAGGGCACCTGGGACGGCGGCGCGGCTCCTGACTCGGGTCCTAGGTGGGCCTGGGGGTTCCAAGCCCCGTAAGGACCGTGACGCCAGTGAGCGCTGGGACGCCCCTGGGCGCTGGGGCGGCTCCTCTGCCTGACACTGCAAGGGCCGGGGGCGGGCGGAGGCCACCCCACGGCTGCTGGGTGCGGTGGCCGGCACCGACCCGGACCTGCGAGGCGGCGTTGGCCTCGGAGAGGCCACCCGAGGGTTGGCGGGCGGGGCGGCGGGGACACTGGCCCAAGGCCCGGCTCCACACCCTAAATGCTTGCCAAGCTCATCACAGGGTGGTACGTCTGCATCTTTTCTCAAATGACATCGTCCACCGGGGTGGTTCTGGGCTGTTGGTGGGAGTTAGCGGGCCTCACTGCAGGGGTCCCAGGGCCCGGCTGAGCCCCAACAGCCCTCCCGCAGGGGCCTGGTGCCTCACCACGGGACCTAGGGGCGCAGCCTCCGCCCCACCTCAGACAAAGGGGGCCCCGCAGCTGGGGCTCACAGCCCGGCAGGGACACCAGGGCTCTGCTTCCCGGTCAGCAGAGGGCCCTTGCATCTCAGTCATGCAGGACGGAGAGCAGGTGCGTGAGGGCTCCCCTGCTGTGGGCCCAGTGCCCTCAGCCTCCGCCCAGAGCCCAGCCGCTCACACTGCCCGCAGCCGGGACCCCCAGGCAGCACCAGGCCCCCTCTACGCACTGGCGGCTCCTGCTCCAGCCCCTCGGGTTTCCGGGGTGTCGGGGTGCCTGCCCCACAGCCTCCTGGGCCTGTCAGCACTGAGGCCTCCGGGCGGCCTCTGGGCAGCCGGGCCCCTCCTCAGCCTAGAGTGTCCCTCAGCCTGCGCTGGAGCCAGCTGCCATCCAGGCAGGGCCAGTGTGCGTCCCCGTCCTGGCTGGCAGCCACGCAGGGGCCCCAGGGCTGTCCAGGCACAGTTGGGGCACACTGGAAGGCCGAGGCCCAGCTGCAGTGATGGCCAGGGCAGCACAGGCCCTCATGGCCATGTCTGCAAGGCTAGGCAAGAGCATGCACTGGGGCCCTGTTGGTGTCCAGCACTGAGGCTGGCCTCTGCCCAGCTCCCACAAAAGCCCAGCTGCTCATGGAAAGCGGGGCCACCTCACTGCCCACTGAAGCCCCATTCAGTGGCTCTCGCAAGAGTCTTGGCCAAGAAAAAAGGGTGTGTGGGACTGGGCCAGCAGGAGCCCCACGAGCACTGCCCAGCCGGCGCAGCCCCTCCCCACCAGCCCTGAGCTGTCTGGGCAGGAGTGTCCTGGCCAGCACACACCCCCACTAGGGGCACGCGAGGCTCAGTGCCAAGCCGGGGCCGCTCCCACACCCTTGCTCCCCACACACAGAGGGGCTGAGCAGCCCCAGGCAGCGGGGCCAGCCTGCCCACGTGGGCACACAGGCGCGAGAACACAGCCGTCCTGCACCCTGGCCCTCGGGGGCGGGCGTCCGCCCCCGACGGCCCCTGCGCCACTGTTGCCATGGCCCCCGCACCGGACAGAGGGCAGCGCTGGTCCCCAGGAGCACACAGAGCTCGTGACTCCATCCAGCGCGGAGGACGCCAGGGCATCAGGACACCTCCACTGTCTGCACGCGCGAGACCGGGCTGCGCGTTCCAAACCCGTCCGGGGTGGCCGCGCTTCACAGCCCCATGGCCCCAGGGGACGGCCGGGCCCCCTGCGGCCTCAGGACCAGGGAGACTGGACCCCTGCCAGCAGCCTGCGCGTCTCTGCAGCCTCGACCCTAGAGCCCTGGAGCCCTGAAGCTACTCAGGTGAGGAGAAGAAGAGGAAGTGGAAAGACAGACGGAGGAGAAGAGGGTGGAGGGGAGGAGGCTGGGGCCTGGGGGGCCAGGAGGTGGGACTGGACTCTGAGGTGGACACAGCAAGTGCCGTATATGGGAATCACTGCAGCGGGCAGAGCTCAAGATGGGCTCCCAGCAAGGGGGTCGGCAGGGGACCCAGCCCAGCCTCACCCTGAGGGATGAGGTCCAGACTGCGGGGCCTGCCGGGCTGCCCGGACAGGCCGCAGGACTCGGGGGTCCAGTGCTTCCGGCCGTATTTCTAAAACAGCTCAGGCCCTGGAAGCCTTCGCCCCGCCAACCCCACCCCACACCGGTGTCCCAGCTCCCACTGGCTCCAAAACAGGATGAGCCGGGAACCACGGCCTGGATTCAGGGCCTCGCAAAGCAGGCCCGGGGGCGGCTGAGGGAGGGAGCCCCAGCTGTGACGTCAGAGCTGGCTGGAGGCCTGAGAGCCGGGGCTGCCCGGGCCCACCTGCAGCCCCGGGACGTGGCTGGGGACCTCTGGGCACCGCCGGGCTGGGAGCCGAGCCCACTAGCAGGGGGGGGGGGGGGGGGTCGGGCAGGAGCAGAAGGGGCAGGGGTGGTGCGGGGGGAGACATGGGGAGCACAGCCGGGTGTAGACGAAAGGGCCTGGGGCGCACTTGGCACGGGCCGCACAGCCCAGGGGCCACGGGGAGCCACGGCCAAGGCCCCGGCGAGCCAGACTCAGGCTGCGAGGAGGAGGAAGGCGGGCGGCGGCCTGGGCCCAGCCAGAGGACAGGCGGGTGCCGGGGCGGGGCAGGGCGGGCGCCAGGCGCAGCAGGAGAAGCAGGAGCAGCGCGGGAAGCCCGGCCAGAAAGAGCCAGCCCCCGGGCTCGGCCCGCCGCTGCCCACAGCGCTGGCCCGGGCCGGGCCCGAGCAGGCCGGTTTGGCTGGGGCCTCCCGAAGGACAGAGCAGAGCAGGGCCTGCGAGTCAGGCCGGCAGGCAGACATACTTGAGGTCAGCAGAATGGGCAGCCATGAGGTTTCTGAGGCTCTTGTCAGCAAGAGGGCAACCAGAGAGGCTGAAAGAGAAGAGACGGGGTGCGGGGGTGAGCCAAGAGGGCGCGCAGGGGAGGGCAGGAGGCCACGCAGCGCGCGGCCGGCCGGAGGGACGCACCTGCGGTGGGAGGCGTAGTTCCCGGTGATGTGGCCACTGCCGTCACAGCCGGGCGTGGGGCAGCTGAACAGAGGAGAGAACGGTCAGGACGGGGAGCGGCCACCCCCGCCGGGCCGGCC